AGGTACCCCAAGGCCACTGAGAACGCTGACTGTACTCGCTCGGTTCAGCTTTTTGTTGCCCAGACGGTTGGCTGTTAGTGCATTGAGAGATTCTTCGATCGGACTTGTAGGCCCCATTGGAGGGGCTTCTCCGAAAATTCTTTCGAGCTTTGAAGGTCTACCACTAGAAAGTGGCTTGAGGTATAAATAGTCACGACCTTGATGGTCTGGGTCATGAATCAATGCCATCAACTGATCCTCGCTAAGCGGAAGAGCTAGAGGAAATGAGGTTAGGTCTATGCAAAGTAGTATGAGAGCAGAACTAACCTTCGGTATCGGAACCGAGATAAACCCCCCAACCACCCACGGCCAATATGTCGTCTATGGGGGGCTGGGATTCAACAGTCTGCACTCCAAACTTCTTCAGAGCACGTTCAACGAGTTCTGCGGCATCCTCCGAGTCTTTGAATTCAAGGACACGAGAGTTTGATTCTCCAAAATGGAATTTGATTAATTTTCGCCTAACCTCATCGTCCTTGAGACCTTGAGCTTGTGATGACTTGAAGGGACCACGGCCAACTGAATAACCACCTCCTGATGTAAAGTTTTCGGAGACAGGTGAGAGAATATGTGAGTTGACAGGGCCTGGGGCTAAAGAAGCACCTGAAGAAGAGCTATACGGATGTCCTGATCCACTACCGTATGACCGGTTGGTTCCAGAGCCCTGTCTAGTGTGTGCAGACGGGTTCTGGTTGGCTAGTCGTGATCTATTGGGAGGGACAGGGGAAGTAGCACGAGGGGCGAATGAACCCCCTGGGAGGTTGCCTGGTGCAGGATTTCGCGGTAAACCTGGAGCGGTATTCCAGGACGACACGGGTGAAACTGATGGTGCCGGGGGCAAAGGGTCGTTGGTGAATGGAGGTGGATGGGAGGGTTCACCAGTCGGTGTTCGCACGCGCTGGGCACCCGGCCCAGGAACACCTAGACGGGTCTTGGTAGCAAGGGGGCTCACTGATGGGTTGATTTTGCTAGGATTCGAACTACTGCCGTATGGCGCGGCGTGCCTTGTATTGGTCGTCTGCGCCCTGGGTGTGGGCGTTGCCGTAAGACGCGCGGAATCAATCCTTTGGATCTGAGGGAGATCCTTTTCACGAACATTGTCGATTTGTAAAGGTGGAGGCCGACTACGCGAATTCCGGACAGGAGCGCCATCCAAATTATCTTGCGGTAGACTATTCTCGCTTTTGTGAGCTAGCCCGCTCGATTTGGAGCCTCTGAGATCATTGTGTGCTCCGTTAAGCGTAACTCTTGGTCCGGTCTGGAAAGAAGACGAGGATCCAGAGCAAAGTCGTCTCAATTCTTTAATGGCAGTCCGGATACGTGTGCGATCGCCAACAGATGTTATTCCTATTTCCTTGAGAATATCCATGTCCAGCTCTAGGATAATATCGCCTCGTATATCATTCTCCCGAAAGGCCTGGGCTTGATGAGCACATTTATTATCTGTAAGCCATCGCGCTACATGCGAATCCTGCCACTGCTTAACAAAGTCAGCGTATGATACTCCCGGAGGAGGCTCGAGCACCCCCCCCCTGGAGAGGAGCTGGAGGAGTGCATGCTATGGTGGCTTGCGTTACTTCCCGGTGTCTCTGGACGTGAATGGGGAGCTCTTCGTTGAGAAATGTTCATGAAGGATTGGTGGATAAATGGGCTCGTGGGGGTCCCAGTTGCTGCCATGCAAGAGGGTCGGCCGTAGCGAAGGCCAAAGTTAATGTTGTCCCTTGGCCACCCATACCATGGAGCCTTCTGCCTGGCTGTCCGCAGATAAAAATGGAGGAATCAAACTAATTACATGCAAAAAAGCTCTTAAAGAAGAAAAAGATCTCAAAAATCCGGCATTAAAATACACTTTGTCCGCAAATAATGTGGAATCTTCGTGGTCGAGGTCGGTGCAAAAACTTGCTGTTGGGGCTCATGCTGGTCACGATATGGTTAGTAATTATCCTACAGATTAAGGATGTTTCATACTCATGTTGTACCCGCTAGGTAGCTGCGGCCTGTGCGGACGGGTCGACCTCCCTTTGTGGCACGGATAAATTAATACGGGCTCAGTTCACCCCACAATGGGACTGGGATGAGCCCACTCAAAGATTCAATACAAGTAGCACATCCGGGGATACATGGGTTGGGCTGGATGTTAATCCCTTGTACGAGATGAACCCAAGAAATTTTCCAGAACACTAATGTCGACGGCATAGAGGTATAATGCAGTGTACAAATCGTGGAAAGGCTCGAATGACTTCTATTGATCCTGAAAATGCACTCAATACGCATCCATGCGCAGTCCCTATGAATATACGGTGCTTTAAGGGATCCCCTTCCGGCAACCACTTTGCCTATGCCGGAAGAGAGGTCAATCTCTCTGTGTGGGACACAGAAAGGGCCTTTCAAGCTCCTGTTACCACTGAAACAGCGCCTGTTCAGAAGAGACCTCGAGCAGCCGATCAATTGTTTCCAGGGGAGATTTGGAGAGCCAAGAATGTGCGTCACTCCCGACAATCTTGCTTGGACTGACTTATCATTTATAGGTAGCGAACGATAATTTAGATTTACGCCAGCCTATCGATATCTCGTCCCTGGCGTTCTTGTCAGTCATCGAAGCTCGTCACGACATTGCCATCGGAAACTCGATCGGATATGTTCATCGCTATGATACACGGAAGGGAAGAAAAGCCGTATCTTCATGGAGCGATAAACGG